ATAAATGTGAATTATATAGTTAAAAACAAACTGGTCCTTCTAATTTCATTCATGTTGCGCATCGAATGTGAATATACATATAAATAAATACATTCGAATATACATTTGTAGATACATTCAAATTTAACGGTTCTTCATAGTGCTTACATATATATTACTTTACTTAATTTTGATGACTGATTTAATATTTAATTAGCGGCTACTTTTTACATTAATTAACATATGAATTATTAACACAAAGAATTAATATGAAATTAATAATAATTTAATTTGATCTGTTTAAGGTTGCCACTGTATTATATTTTCAATCTACAGAGCAGAGCTGCCAACTCGCATTATTATTGCACAAAAATAAAAGATACAATATCTTAAACCGCTTCTACTATGTAAGTATTTTCGATTACTTTCGATACAATGTGGTAACTTTCGTATAGGTACTAGCGGGTCACACTGTATGCTCTTCAGTGTGTGTTGGTTCTAGTTCATTTCAGTTCATGAGCAACATATTTTGTTCGTCATTTAATTTTTGTTTTTTTAATATGGCTGATACAAAGGGTGTAAGTAATATTTACCGAATTCCACAAATACTACTGCACAATTGCAAAAACGTGTGTACTGTATAATATACGTGAATACTAAGTGATACCATATAGGGCGCGGTTTTAGTGAGCGTTTCAATCCCCGCTCGCGACGACGATGGCGTTCTTGTTTTGTATATGTGTGTTTGCGGCTTATCATGCAAATTCCTCATGTTAGTAGTGTGCAATATGCAATTTGCTGTTGCAGCAAATCCACATCAACTGAAATATTCATCATTGCTTATGTATATGTTTTGTGTATACTGTGTGTGAGTTCATTTTAATTTATCGTCGCTTAAGATTCAAAATTGGTTCATCCAAAAGTGCATGATTCATTGAAGCCGGCATATAAAAAGGCGTCGCCGTAATCTGAATTATCTTCCTTTGTTGCGGCCTGTGACCTACATAATGTAAATGCTTATGTATGTGAAAGCATATGTACACGCTGATCACAATGTCAATGGCTTTAAGTACTGTTTTGTACGTACTTGGACAGCGATATACATATGAAAAATAATAAATACATATGTGCGTGTACTTATCAGCACATGTTTATGTGTGTGTACACGGCTTAGGCATGCAAGAGAAACTCGCGCGTGTCTGGCATTTCAAAATAACGCCGCCACTTTCTTTGAACCAGGCTTCGATGTCTGCCGGCCCCCCGCAGACACGAACTGCACAGTTATTGATAGAGATGGGTGCGTGTCAAGACTTCCAACAAGACTCGACACGAGCACGACGACAAGCAACAAGACACATATTCTTGTTATGTTTATAAAATTATTAAATACTCCAATATTAAAATGATCATATAAAGCTCTAAAAAAGCACAGTTTATTAAATACATTCTGTCTTTGTTTTCTTTGTTTATTTTATAATTGCTATTTATATTTGATTAATGAGCTAGAATGCTTTAATTGCTTCGAATCTAAATAATTTCAAATTTCACGCAAGCTTAAATTATATTATATGGACTTAATTTGTAAATCGGTTATGAATATTTTGCAAATATATCGTATTGTGTCACGAGCGCAGCTCTAGTCATGCTTGGCTTGCAAGTGCATGAGAGAGGGAGTGCGAGTGAATAAGAGAGAAATTGCAGCAAATAGATAAGCAGCCCGATGACTCAACCACATTTTAATAAATATTTAAATTGATTTTAATTATTACTTCTGTCTGCGCTGCAGTTTTCGAGCATTGAGACACCCGGCTATGTGGGCTTTGCCAATTTGCCCAATCAAGTGCATCGCAAGTCCGTGAAAAAAGGCTTCGAATTTACGCTGATGGTTGTCGGCGAATCGGGCTTGGGCAAATCGACGTTGGTAAACAGTTTATTTCTCACCGATTTATATCCGGAGCGCATTATACCTGATGCCATAGGTAAGCAATATATGGATATATTTATGAGGGTATATGGGTAATTACTTATTAAATGATTCGTGTTAAACAGAAAAACAAAAGCAAACTGTAAAGCTGGAGGCATCGACCGTAGAAATTGAGGAGCGGGGCGTTAAGCTTCGTCTAACGGTAGTCGACACACCTGGCTTTGGCGATGCCATCGATAATTCAAATAGTTTTAACGCCATATTCGAGTACATAGATGAGCAATACGAACGCTTTCTCCAGGACGAAAGCGGACTAAATCGTCGCAATATTGTGGACAATCGCATACATTGTTGCTTCTACTTCATATCGCCGTTCGGCCATGGGTATGTCACTGCCAGTATATGTCTAGTTTGTAGAAATTCATATTCAATTCTCTGTTATAGCCTAAAGCCTCTCGATGTGGAATTCATGAAGAAACTGCACTCGAAGGTGAACATTGTGCCTGTAATTGCCAAAGCCGATTGTTTAACAAAGAAGGAGATATTGCGTTTGAAATGCCGCATCATGCAGGAGATTGAGAGCCATGGCATTAAAATATATCCACTGCCCGACTGTGATTCAGATGAGGATGAAGACTACAAGGAGCAAGTGAAGCAATTGAAGGAAGCTGTGCCTTTCGCCGTCTGCGGCGCTAATACTCTGCTCGAGGTGAAGGGGAAAAAGGTGCGCGGTCGCCTCTATCCATGGGGTGTTGTTGAGGTTGAGAATCCGGAACATTGTGATTTTATCAAACTGCGCACCATGCTCATCACACACATGCAGGACCTCCAAGAGGTTACCCAAGAGGTGCACTATGAAAACTATCGTTCCGATCGCCTTGCCAAGGGCATCAAAGGCAAAGAGAATGGCATCAAATCAGATCGAATCGATACGAATGGCTCGACACAAGTGGGCGTAAATAGTGTGCTATCCGAGAAGGATCGCATACTGCAAGAGAAGGAGGCAGAGCTGCGTCGCATGCAGGAGATGCTTGCACAAATGCAGGCGCGCATGCAGGCACAAAAATGAGCAGCTTAAACAGAAGATGAGATGAGATGAGAGCGTAGCACGTATTGTGCAATCTACACATACACACACACACATACATACCTTTTTTTAGATACATATATATATCTATATTTTGTACGCAGTTTTTAAGTTGCGATTGCGATCGCTAGTCTATTCGCTTAGTTATGCATTTTATACACACACACACACACACGAATATATTTATATATGTATATTTATTGATATATATCTGTGTCAGACATATATATATCTTTTATATATATCTTTGTAATCTGCAATTGCCACACAAGCAATTTGCAAGCTATGCTCCAATTTAAAACTGGAATGTTCAATCTCAAGGTATTTGAACCACAGACACACACACACACACAAACATATTTACACACAACCACAGACTTCATATCACTCCTAAGATAAAAGATCAAGAAATGAACATGATTAACAAACTGTATTCCTATTATATATTTAGACGCAGTCGTCTTCGATATTACAAATTTGAATTATGTGTAATCTTTTTTTTTTTAAATTATATTTGTACGCTGTAACGCATTTAAGCTTAAGTTAAAAGAAAACAAACAAATTCTGCCGATGTTAAAATAATTGATCTGTTTATTAGTCTCAAGAAAGTAAGAAAAGAAAAAAAGGATAATGATGAATGATCTGTTGATCAACTGCAACCGTGTTATATTAAAACTTTTCAATTACTTAATTATTTGAAAAGTGCGTAAAATGTTTATTCATAACTAAAGTTAAGTAAATTCAGTTGAGCGTTAAACTATTGAGCTAATATATATAATCTATCTATATATATATATACATATATCAACTTACTCTATCGTATGTACATTTATTTTGTATTTTTATCGTGTATACTTTAAATATTTTATGTATTATGTTTAAAAATTTTTACTTACATGTAAAATCCACAATATGCAATTGCTTAATAAGTTTAAAGCTCAAGCTAAACCGAATCCTTATTGTCCTGTATATGAACAATTTGAATCTTTAACATATTCCTCTATAAATATATATATATATTATATGCTTTTTATACAATTTCTAAAAATATTTGCGTTCACAATTTATTTCGAAGTTTTGATTTTTTAAGGAATTTAAATGGACTATAAATTTGTAAACACATTCATTTCGATCTTTCTTTAAGTCCAAAATCAATTAGGCACAACAGAGCTGTTGATAATAATTGAAGATTACTATGCTTTGTCGCTGACCTTTAGTACCTTTAACTAATAAATATTTAATTTAAACTTAATATGGTCAAACGGCAGACGGCGCTGCCACCTGTGTTTAAAAATACTAAATCATCTATTGTGAATGTAGTGCAGTTGCATATGCTGAGCTGCTTATCAGTCGTATTTGACATAAGTTGGCAGCCCCTGCTTTTAACTCACATGTTGTGCGGTAACATCCACAGAATGTGCCGGCATATTTCTCATTGAAAGGAACACAAAATAAAATGTGCTGTAAATAGGAAAACACATAACAAAATGTACAAGACAATATGCCGCACATTGATGCGAACAACTGGCCCAGGCATATGGAAGCGCCGCACACTATTCACGACCTTCGTTCGCTTGGAGAACAAAGCCGATGCAAAGGCGAAGGGCACGGCGGGCACAGAAGCAGGGGCAGCATCCAATTTATCGCAGGAGGCACTGCTCCAGGAGTTCAGTCGAATGCCTGTCAAGCGTATACGAAACTTTAGCATCATTGCGCACGTGGACCATGGCAAGAGCACTCTAGCAGATCGTGTGCTGGAGCTAACGGGTGCCATTGCACGCAATGCTGGACAAAATCAGGTGCTTGACAGTCTGCAGGTGGAACGAGAACGCGGCATCACAGTCAAAGCACAAACAGCTTCCATATTCTATCAGTATAAGAAGGAGTTATATTTGCTAAACCTAATCGATACACCTGGCCATGTGGACTTCTCCAATGAGGTACGTTGTGGCCTTGGATATGTTGTATGATGGGATATATATGATTTCATCTTGCAGGTCTCTCGCTCGTTGGCCGCATGCGATGGTGTTATTCTCCTCGTAGATGCCTGCCACGGCGTGCAAGCGCAGACTGTGGCCAACTTCCATCTGGCCAAGCAGCGACAGCTGGCCGTTGTGCCGGTGCTGAATAAGATAGATATCAAGCATGCTCAGCCCGACCAGGTGGCCAAGGATATGCAATTATTATTTGGAATTGATCCAGACAGCGTCTTGCGTGTTTCAGCTAAACTAGGCACAGGAGTTGCTCAAGTGCTGGAGCGTGTCATTGAGACAATCCCCCCGCCGAATGTTGAGCGAGAGAGCGCATTTCGTGCGTTAATCTTCGACAGCTGGTTCGACAAATATCGCGGGGCACTGAATCTCATTTATGTGCTAAACGGTCAGCTAAATGTGGGCCAGGAAATACAGTCGCTGGCCACCAAAAAAATGTATCCCGTGAAAAGTTTGTCCGTACTACGTCCAGCTGAGTCCGCCGTTGAGAGTTTGTTGGCCGGCCAGGTGGGCCTCGTTGGTTGCAATATGCGCAACAGCAAGGAGTCCATCATTGGAGACACAATACATCTAAAACATCAGACAGCTGAGGCTGCTGGCAGCTATCGACCACAGCAACCCATCGTATTTGCGGGCGTCTTCCCTGTGGATCAGTCCAAGCACGTCGCCTTACGCAGCGCCATCGATAAAATGGTACTTAACGATTCGGCGGTCACGGTCAGTGTGGACTCTAGTCCAGCACTAGGCCAGGGCTGGCGTCTTGGCTTTCTCGGTCTGCTGCACATGGAGGTCTTCTGTCAGCGGCTGGAGCAGGAGCATGGCGCTGAGCCCATTATAACCGCCCCCTCCGTAACGTATCGCATCGTTCTACGCAATCCGAAGTTGATTAAGCAGCATGGCAGGAACACACTGGAAATATCGAATGCAGCATTGCTGCCCGAACCGACCAGCATTGAGGAGTACTACGAGCCACTTGTCCTGGGCACCATTATAACGCCCACTGAATATGTGGGTCAGGTAATTGGATTGTGTGTGGAGCGACGCGGCCTGCAGCAGAGCTCTGTAAATATCGATGAATCGCGCATATTGATGAAGTATGTTCTGCCGTTAAGCGAAATCATATTGGACTTCCATGATCGCCTGAAATCCCTTAGCTCTGGCTATGCCAGCTTCAGCTACGAGGATCATGGCTATCATCCCACTCAACTGGTGCGTCTTGATATACATTTAAATGGGCGGCCAATCGAGGAATTGTGTCGCATTGTGCATGTCAGCAAGGCCACAGGTGTGGCTCGTCAAATGGTGCACAAGCTTAAGGATCTCATACCCAAGCAGATGGTACAGATTGCCATACAAGCGTGCGTGGGCAGCAAAGTGCTTGCGCGTGAGACAATTAAAGCCTATCGGAAGGATGTAACGGCAAAGCTGGTAAGTTGCCAGACTACTACAACAAAATTAGCAGAACTTTGACTCTATTTATCGATAGTATGGCGGCGATGTAACACGGCGGATGAAGCTGCTGAAACAACAGGCCGAGGGCAAAAAGAAGATGCGCATGTTTGCCAATATTCGCGTTCCTCACGAAACATTTATCGATGTGCTCAAACGCTAAACGCATGCCAATTGCAGTTCGGGTGAGTGAGATAGGATGCTGACGCGGATGCAGTTGCTGGTGCTACTGCTGCTCGAGTGTTATCGATATCATTAATTTATATTTTTGTTGGTATTCCCGCCCGCTTATCGCTGCCAAAACAAATTATTCTACCAAACGCTTGCTTCCTCTCTCTTTCTCCCTTTTGTCTCGAGTCGATCACACTGGCCGTCTTATCATTTTGTATGCTCTTTGTCTTGAAATAAAAATAAAAACAACACGAAAGCATAGAAACTGGTATGCGTGAGTAGCGTACACATACATTCAATTGTATGCATGATTATTTATGCGTGTGTGTATCACAACACACGCAAGTAATACATATGTACATATCGGTTTTTTAATGCACTCACATTGATATAAACATTTCTACATACATATATATGTAATACATATGTATGTATGCATATATAGACATTTATGTATGTATATGTATGCGTATGCAAGTAAATGCCCTTTCTAGACTTTGCACTGGTTCATTATTTCCGTCGCTGGACCGATATTCGTTAGTTATTGTTTACATATTTAAATTTATACATTTCTTTGGTTAGTTCAACTTAAGTACATTTCTTCGATGAAACGAACTTTAATAAGATTTTAAAAAATTAAATGCATATATGTATGTATGTACATATATATGTGCATACATGTATTTAAATGCACAATTAAAATTGACGCACACCTTTCAATTAAAATAAAGAATCCCAAAATCGTTAAATTTGGCAACGCTAGTGATAAAATTGCAGAGACTTCAGCAATTTTGTTGTCATTAAATGTGCGATTTTAGTGTACTTAAGAAGAATATTCAATCAACAACTCTATGAGTGATTTAGGGTGTTTAATAGTCGTGCACTCATTGCTCATTTCGTATTCTATAAAATATACACACTGTGTACTTAGAACAGTTCGTTAACTTTTGTGTTATTCGAGTGTCATTTTCCGAATTTAAAAAACTGATTGTTCTGTCATTGTCTTTAATTGGCGACGACAAAAAAATCGAATTTCCCTGACCCTGAAAACTAGCACGCATACGCATACATTTGATGCATACCGGTATCCTACCGTAGACTGTGCGCTCTACAAACAAAACCACAGACACGCATACACACAGGCACATGAATATAAAAATATATGTATGTATATGGTATATGAGATAGCAGGTTAGAACGCTTGTGTCTTGCTCCCGGTAAGTTTTGTTTGTGAGAACGCAACAATCGAGCGAGGAGCGCGAGTGCACGAGAGAGGAACGGTATAAGACACAAACAATTGAACTCAACTGATGATGGCCGGTGGGTGTTGGGGATATTGCGGTGTGTACATGTGTGTGTGACCTTGAAAAACAATAACATTGTTGTTGTGGTTGCTGCCGCTCTGCTTTGGTGTAGGCAACGCTGGGCAAATGCAAATGCAAACAAACTGAGCAAAAATTGTTAAAATTGATTATGCAATAGCAGAAGCTTCCAATTTGCCAAAAAGTCAAAAGGGAAAGAGCATTGCACACATATTCATATATTTATACTTATACATACACACAAACACCCCTGTATACCACATACTTGTTGCAATATATCCAATCATTTATGTATGCCTCTATGTACATACTTAGTACATATATTGCATCTAAGAGAGAACACGCAGTACGTCTATCTTATTATTTTGTTTATGGAAAACATACAAATTCTTCCTGTTTCCTTAAATTTACATTTGAAAATCAGCTGTACCCAATTTTCCATAAACAACATCTCGAAGAAGAAGAGAAAGAACAGCAGTAACAGACAGTCAAACAGCTGAGTCTGAGCCCCACACGCAAGTGCCAGAGAGTCGCCAGCAACAAGAACAAAAACAAATATACTTGCTCAACTCATGTACAGTGAGAGAGAGAGAGAGAGAGAGAAAAATAGTCTCCGGGCTTATTTGTTTGTGCGATTGTACTAGGCGCACAAACACACAAGCAAAGGCAAAAGCAAAAACAAAAAATAAATACATTTTCGTTGTTTTTGTCGTTGCTGTTGCTGCTGCGCTCAATTGAACGAAACGGAGGCAACGACAACGACAACGACGACCGTTTCTCTGCCGCCGTCGTCGTCGTCTTCGATGCCACTGTCCGTACAACACACAAAAACAGTCAGTTTTCATTCTCATTTGACATCATCAACATTGAAATTAAATTAAACAAGAGCAGTACGAGTTTGATTGCGATTTCGATTCACCGATTAATTATTGGTGAAATTTAAAGTAAATTTATTTTATAAATGACAAATTTTAAGTGGTGTTTTAATTAATGCGAAGATTCTATGTTTAAGTTTTCATTTAACAAAACGCCAAAAAAAAGACTCAACGACATTTTGTTTTTCATTTTGCTTTGCCGTTTTTATTTGCAAAATAATCAGCGCGAACAAAATAACAAACGTCATCAGCTGTTCTGTGCGAGTGTGTGTGTCCGTGTGTATGCTTAAGTTGCTTTCACATACGTACATATGTATGTTTGAGTGTACGTATGTATATGTGTAAATATGGAACTGTATTATATACATATGAATATCTATAACTGTATTTCGCGCTTTGTTTTTAAATAAAAGCGTTAAAAAGCGGTATAAAATATTACAGGAAATATATATTCATATGTATGTATATGTATAAAAATTGTTGCACTCAGCCTCCCGTCTTACGCCCCCTTAATATTTAGCGACGTGAAACATAACCTACAAGCGCATTTAGAATGAGAACTTGCTTGAAGGTTACGACGCGGCGCCACAAAACACCCCCAATCCTCGCGTTTGGGAACGTCTCATCAATGGTTGCTCCGACAACGCTTTGGCCTTGACCGTGTACAAACCAACAACAACAACAAATACAGAAAGCAACGGTGTAACAGCTGACAGCTGTGCGTTGCGGCTGCACTTTTGACAGTGCAAATGCGTCAAGTGGCAACGCTGTTTAGATGGAGATGGAAGCCCAAGTGAAATATACACAAATACTTGACGTTCGCACAGCAGCGCTTTAAGCGCAGTACGTCTCTTGCATACACACACAAACGCAATCAAGTTCAAAGTAATCGCAACGAAAACGAAAAAGGCAAATCAACGGCATCGGCATCTCCCGCATACACATATAGAAACTGCGCGCATTCGCACTCTCGCTCTCACACACACATATACGCTTACACAGCTGTACACGTAGCAGTGTTCACATTTTTATTTCTTTTTTGTTTTTATTATATGAAATCCGACGGTAGCCAGGCAATCACATAAAGGAATACAACAAAATATAGTTAACAAATTCTGCAATGGTCATAGAATAAGCCAAAGTGAGCAATAAACTAAAAAATGCAAACAATGTTAATAATTAATAATTAACATGTAGCTAGGCAGGCACCAGTGTCAAATTCAACTTAACAGTTATTCGCAATAATTGGCTAGCTGGCAGCCAGTGTTTGATATTGTTGTCAGTGTTGAAAAATATTTATTGCGATTGGAAACTTCGGTTTTCGCGCTGCGTAGTTGTGTTTTTGCTGTTTTCCCCCGTTCTCTATTTCTTTACCAATTGTGCGTTTCGTTTGTGTGTACGTATATATGTGTGTTTATGTGTGTTTTATTTATGCAAGTAAGCCATAAGTATTTGTATGTTCATACATAGGTCTAGCATTTTCGATTGTTTCTCCGTGTGCCAGTTACATACATATATACGCAAGTCCATGTACATAAATATATTGCTGCTTTGTTCATGCATACATATTTACATTCATATATTGCTTAAAGTTTGCAACGAAAGAGAGAGTGAGAGTTAATTAAATTTATATCAATATCGAGTGATCAACAATTTTTTTCGTCGTTTGTTTTTGTTGCTATATTTTTCATAATATTTAATGAAAACTTAAAATGTTTGTATGTGTGTATTTATGTGTTATTTTTGTTTTGCGACTAACGGGCGCGTCAGTGCCAATGGCAAACACACACACACACGCTTACCTTTATGCATGTTCACGTCAAACGTCACACAGCTGATAGGTGTTGTTAGTGGTTGGCGCACACGCACAACCACAAAGCGAACGAGCGCTTGCAAATATCATATGTGTGCTTACTCTTGCGCTACCATTCACTTTCTCGGTATCGCTCTCTTTATCGTACGTATGCCACCCACTCTAGGTATTTTATTTTGTAAACAACTGAGAAAAGCGCGACCAGTGCTGCCAGATATGAAACAATTTTAAGCTACATTGGTAGCGCTGTCATATGTGCGCACACGTATACAATATCGCAAACATACACACAAATACATTCATGCACTAACACTGTGACATGCATTTGTGAAATTCCTATTTAAATTATTGCTTATATTTGGGTTTTTTTTTTGCAGGCGCAGCAATACCAAAAAATAAATAAATAGTCCATGCAATTAAGAAGGACGCGACGCGGCGCGTTTAATTTCACATAAACAATGATCAACAGTTTTAGTGTGGCAGGTGCGGGCGCAGGTGCTGCAGCTGCTGCTGCGACTAAGCTACATTTCAATTGCAACAAGAAGAGCAATAGTAACAACAACAACAACAGTAGTAAAATCATGCCAGCAGCAACAAATGAGCACAAAAGCCACAATTTAATCAACAGTGCCACTCCAGCAACAGCAGCAGGAGCAGCAGCAACAACAGCAATTGCAACAGCTGCAACAACAACTACCACTGCGAAAAAGTTTAAATTAACATACAGCGAAGTTGATACAAAGCATTATTTAATGAATTTACCACATTTAATGGGCTATCCACAGCAACAAGAACAGCATCAGCAACAAGAACAGCAGCAACAAAAGCGAAACGCCGTACTCATTTTGCCTGGCAAAGCAAATACCTCATCAACAATCACCAAAGATTCGCAGTTGAAATATGTCAATCTACAGTCCAATAGCAACAACATGCAGCAGAAGATTGCAACAACAACAACAGCATTAGCCAAAAGTGTCTTAGATGGCTGGACAATGCCACAGCAGCAACAACAACAACAACCACAAAGAACTGAAGACCAAGAAAATGCCTTTCGCCAAATCGAAGATGTGCACAACTATGCCAAGCTGCAGCATCAGCAACAGTATCATCATCACAATCATCACCAGCCACATCCGCATCTGCACAGCAGCAGCAGTGATGAACTGGAAGATGATGAAGAGGACGATTTCGATGACGCTGATGATGATGACGATGACGGGGAGGGTGCGCGGGATGAGCAAATAGCAAAATTGCATAAGTTAAGGAAGCAAAGCCGTGTAAATGTGCCTAATATTCTAAATGATGACGATTCCGAGGAGCATGTGGAAGTGGATGTTGTAACTGTAACACCAACATCAACTGCAGCCACGACAGCCTCAGCAGAGGCTGCAACAGCAACTGGAGCACCAACAGTAGCAGCGGTATCAGCAGTAAAGGAACAGGAATCAGAGCAGCAACAGTTGTCATCAAAGGTCGATCAAGATAACCTGCGACCGGAGCATCATGCACGTCGACCCATGAACGCATTTCTTATATTTTGTAAAAGGCATCGCGCCATTGTCAAGGAGCGCTACAAGTCATTGGAGAATCGGTAAATGTGGCGATGATACTAAAAGTACCTGAACGTAAAAATAACTAAAAAATCCTTAATACATTCAACAGGGCAATTACGAAAATACTTGGTGACTGGTGGGCCGCATTAGATGAGCAGGAGAAGCAGTGCTTTACCGATCTGGCGCAACAGGTAAGCAATAAAACTGGACAGTTACATAGTTGAATTATGCTGCTTCCATTTTGCCTCTAATTGATTCCTTTTTGGACATCAACTCCTTTCCGAGATTAGCTGAAATGTCTGGCAGCTTTAAATTTGAATTCCAATTTAAATTCGAAGATCTGGCAACCTACCTACATTCGAATTCAAATTGCAATTCAAAATGTGCATATACTATATACAGCTCAAGCTCTCTTTGTTTCATGCAATTTTGTTACATTTAATATATTATGCTTAACTAATTTAAGCACACTAAAGCTTAATATGATTTAAACCTCTCCAAGTAAATTTATCGCTAAAAACGTCGATAGTTCGATATTGCCGAATAGTTTAGGCAAACAGTCTGGCAACATGTTGAAATTTCAAATTCCAATTTGAATTTGTAGAGTCAATAAAATAGAAAACCTTTTATCATAATTATATATGCTAAATAGTAAATTACGTTGATTAGACTTAATATCTGAGCGGTTTAGCTTGAAAGAGAGATTTATATATATGTCTAACAACATATATTGCTTTCTCACTCTGTTGCTCTCTCTGTCTTTCTGATTTGTAGATAATTTATTTTGACTTATTTTTATAAATACTTGCAGAATAAAGATGCCTTTTTCAATGCCAATCCCAATTTTAAATGGTACAAACTACCCGCTCCGCCGCTGCGCACGCTAGCCACACGTCCCAGCAATGCGGCAAGTGGACATCAAAATGAGGAGCAGCAACAGCAACAACAACAACAACAACAACAGCAGCCGCCCCTTCACTGGCAACCCACGGAAATGGCACACATGTTGCGTCGCAATCTATTCAAGTTCGCAGATGAGACTCAAATGGGCGAGCTGAGCGCTTTGCTGAGCAGCAATACGAGCAATGTTCAAGATAAGGATTATGCGCTGCAGCAGGCGCTCAGCGAGACGACGCAATTCATGAGCGCGCATATGCCCGGCAACAACAACAACAACAACAACAATAACAATAATATTAACAACAAACGCTCAGCGGATAGCGCGAGCAATTCGAGCGAGGAAGAGGATCGAAGCACATGCACAACCTCCAAGAAGCTGAAAACGTCACGCAGTTGCAAGGGCAAAATCTATCAGGAGCTATTCAATTCGGGCCAACTGGCGGCCATAGCCAAGAAGAGCAAATGCCGTCTGAACAGCGGCGGCAGCAACAATAGCAACAGTAACAGCAATAGCAACAGCATCACCGATGGCAACAGCAATACGCCGCCCATTTCGCCAATAGCTGCATCAACAGCAGCAACAGCTGATGGCCAACTGTTGCAGCTGGATGGAACAATGCGTGGCACGTCCAACAGGCACGGCAATTGCGATGCCCAAGAGTTTGATTTAGAGGAGAAGATCAAGGAGTTGCCAGCTCTTAGCCTGGATGCGTATTTGCAGCGCAAGAGAAGCACCAAAAAGAAGAAGAAATTCAGCAGCAGCAAAAAACAGCGCAACAGCAACAGCAACAGCAGCAGCAACCACAGCAACAGCACACCAGCAGCAGCAACAGCAGCTGGCACTGCAACAGGAGGAACAGCAACAGTTGCAGCTGCAACAGTTGGCATGACGGCAGCAACAACAGCAGCTGCTGCTGCCGCTGTGGGCAGCCAGAAGAGAAAGGCTCGCAAGGAGAGCATTACGCGTCGCGATGTCAGCGCCATCGAGCAGGAGGTAGCCTCCATATTGCCGCTGACCATCAATGGCTGTTATTACTTTAATGAAACGCGAGCCCAGCCCGCAACAACAACTGCAGCGGCAACTGTGTCATCAGCAATACCAACTGTTGCAACAGCAGCAACCGCCACTGTTGCCGCCTCGCCACTGTCCTCGTCTTCGTCGTCAACACTTTCTGCTTACGAGCAGATCGGCTACGATGTGACCACTACCTCAGATCTACTCATCCTGGCCGAAGTGGCCGCCCATCGCACAGAGCTGACCAAAACCAACTAGCAGCAGCAACTACTGTAGAAGCAGAGCAACAGATGTAGCAGCAACAACAACAACAGCAATAGCTATTGCATATGCATCAATTGTAGCAGCAACATCTACTGCAACAGCAGCAACTGTTGCTGTAAGGACAGCAACCTCTTAACTGTTAATTCTGGTCACAGCAGAAGACATTTTGTCGTGACTGTACTTATGTATAGTTATACATACGGCCATTGACAACTAATTAGATACAACAAAAGTAAATGGTTTTATTTTGCATAAAATTTAAACATTTTAGATGCAACTTTAACAAACAGATCAGAATTGTTGCTAATGAGTTAACAACGGTATAAATATGTACATTTATATATGCAATCGACTTACGAACACGTCAAAAATGTTCAATAATTCGCATTACTTCAAAGCACAGTTTGACATTCACTGCAGACTTGAAGTTTTAAAGTAATATTTAAAATTCTGCTTCTATTTTAGCTGATTTCATCACTGCGAACGCTAAAATGGAAACAAAAATTAGATAATCAAAAACGTAAAAAATCATATTTGAAGTAATTATAATAAAATTCTAATAATTAATTAAATCAATTATAAAACAATAGTTGTTAGCTTCAAGCTGAAAAAATACAAAAATCCAAAAATAAAAAGAGAA